GCTTTTGGGCCAATGAGGCTGGACTATACAATGAACAACCAAAGAGAAACTCTCTCAAACAAGCTAGAAAGTGAAGGGTTATACTTGAGGTTGCCCTTTGACCTCTTCGTGAACACTATGGAGCATATATAACCTCTCCTCCCCTCCTCCCCATGAACACATTTATACACACACAAACAAAAGAATGGATAGAAAACAGGAGCATAGGGGAGAGAGAAGCGAAGGAAGACAGGGTGACAGACAGGCTGAAGACAACACAGGATGCCCAGGCATAGCTTCAGGTAAACAGTATTTTCTTAGGGGAGACATGTCTCATGCGATGCCTGACACAACTTTTACTATGTAATCATTTGCCATTCCTTCAAGATTCTAATTTAAGTGAAGGTCAAGTGTTCTACTTGGCAGCCATACTTGAATAGCAACTGTTAATTTCAGTTAGAGAGAGAACTCTTTTGGAAAACAGATGTCTTGAGGAAACCAGGCCAGGGCTTCACCAGCGAAGCACTTGCTAATTATGCTGCACAGTGTGTCAGGCTTATACATCTGAATAATATTAATGAACTAGCTATGGGAAGGGAGCAGGGTTACTCTGGAAAACTATCCATTTTATTGATCTACTTGGTAGCAGTTAGAATACACTAAAATTGGATAATGCTGATTCTGGAACTCAGGGACATAGCAGCATCTGTTGGTCATTCATTCCTATGCCCAGGGTGTCCTCTCTCTCTCTCTCTCTGTCTCTCTCTCTGTCTCTCTCTCTCTCTCTCTCTCTCTGTACAAAGGCATGATGGTACATATACCTCACTACCATCTGTTTTACTAGTCAAAAAAAATTACATGAGTGGATCCCCTGAACCACCCAGTTTCTGCCCAGTAATCATCTAGATGTAAAGAAATAACAGACCATGCCAAAGAGAAAACATACTCCCAAAAAGAAAACAGACTTAACACATCCTTAATACTATCTCTTCATCATAACCTATCTGATTCCATTTTGTCCAAAGTGATAATAACCTAGTTCAAAAACCAGGCTAGGACCATGGCTCACTCAGTAGGTAAGGGAGCTTGCTGTCAAACTTGCTAACCTGAGTTCAGTCATCAGAACCCACATAGTAGAAGGAGAGAAATATATTCTGATCTCCATATGTGTGCCATGGCACACACATAGCACTATACAAACACTTATAGACACAGATTGAGGAGGGGTAGACACGGCATAAAGGAAAAATAAAGTAAAAAAGTATACAAATAAAAAGTCTCAAAGAGTCAAAACAACATGAGGCCAAAAGAAGATAAAACAAAAGTGAGGGAAGGACTATAAATAAAACTAAGTGGTGGACACCATACACACACACACACACACACACACACACACGCAACATATGTGCACATGTACAAGCACACGCATACACATTTATACACACATTAACACACACATGCACACACTTACATGCACACATTCATACATGCTCATATACCCATTCACACATGTGCATGCACACACACAGGTGCACACACATGCATGCTGGGAGCAGAAGGAAGCAACTCTAACCTGTGCTTGAGGTAGAAGGGGAAGAGAAACAAAGAGACAAGGGGAAAACAGGTAGGAGGACGCAGAGTGCATGCACAGGCCGATACGTGAAGTGTGGTCAGATGAAAGTACCTTTAACTTAACCATTCTAGAGGAGGAAACCAAGGCTCATCAACAGACAGAGCAGATCTTGGCACCATTTAGACAAGTGCTTCCTAAGAATGAGAGCTAACTATAGGTAAGATGGGCTGTCACTGGGGGCTGCTGGCCCATGTGGAGAACTCATGTTTAGGGGATTATAGGCCTAGATGTGGTATGTTTTACTCCTGTGATAACCTATCACTTTAATTAATTGTTATATCTTCAGTGTTTGACCCTCTTAGAAAATCTACAGGACTGGCTTTTTGAAGGAGAGGGCACTACTGGCCTACCATTCAAGAGGGCAATAGTTAGGGCAATAAAAATGTGCATGTGGAATCATTAGCATACTGGTGAAGAAGCAGATGGGAAAGGAGCTTATTTCAAGTGAAAGACAAGGAGATAAAGCTATTACGTAGGGCCCTTGTTCCTCTCATCATGGTCACCTCTGAGGCCATGCATTCCCATGCCCCACACTGGACCTCATGAACCTAAATGGTAGAGGCTTGGGAGACCCCAGGAAACTGTACACAAATACCCCAAGTGGCATTCTATTCTCAAAGTTTATTTCCACTGAAACAAGGATTTGTATCAGGCAAAGATGGGAATGTGAACAAGGTAAGCACGTGGTTGGTGCCATTGGCTGGTGGCTGACGTTGGTCAGAGCCAGCACCTGAAGCAATGTTTCCTGGAACACAGAATGCAAGGACAATGATGTTCTTGAAGTCAGTGTGATTCCCCAAACAACAAAAGTGAATTAAAGAACTCTGGTAGCATGAGTCACAGCCTTGGTGCTTGTCCCTGATTGAGACTTTCATCAATGACCTGGAGTCACCCCATGGATTGTAGCTTGTGAATAGGTATGCCGCCGTGGGTTATTCTAGGATTGCTTGGTCGTGCATCTTCTCTGATTAACTGCAGTAGAATGGAGGTAGGAGTTTAGAATTCATGGCTGGCTCAGAAGGAATGTGCACACAGAAGTTGTGTGAGGTAAAAGACCATGACTCAGTTAACAGAGTGGTAAATTGTCAGTAGGCATCCCATGCCTGGCTTAGCCTTTGTCTGCCAGGAGCAAGAAGTGTCTGTGCCCATTGTTGCAGTTAGGGTGAGGATGGAAGCCAGAATCCAAATGCCCTGGGAGATAAGAGGGTATCAGGAAGCTATGGGCCCCTTATCCTAACCTTGCCTGTCCAAACACCAAACACAGAATCTTACAGATGTGAGAGCTGTCCAGAAGGACCAGGGTACAGCCTCAGGTGTAGCAAGAGGAATTAGGAGACAAGCCTGCAGTTTCACCAATGAAAGAATCTGAGTACCAACTAAAGGAGACCCCACCCCTACCCCAGTCCAAGAGGAACAACTGGCCTGACATAGACTGAGAAGCAAGGAGTCAAGTTGAACCAGTTATAGCTTCATTTACAATGCGCCCAGATGTGCTTTGTGGTAAACCCCATGCAGTGCTCTGAGTTTTTAATTCATGGCTACTTTGTAAGGGACCTTTCATAACATGTAGCTGTTCTGCTTAAACAGTTCCATCTTTCACACAGGATTAATTTGAAAGTGACTTTCACAGGACCTGTTGCTAACTTGTAAGAATGGTGCAATTTCTTGTCACGGTGCAATGGTGTAGGGAAGTCACCGAGGGATGACTATGAAGGCCACAGAGTTGCCAGAATTTTCTTTCTTTGATGAAGAGTCCCCCTATGTAGTATAGGTTGGCTTCAAACTCTTGGTTAATCCTCCCAGCTTGGCCTTTGTAGTGTTCAGATTATAGGCATAAGCCCATATGCTCAGCTGTGCCATAAATGTATACGGGAGTCATTTTGGAATATTACTGTTCATGACTTAATCCAGCAATGAACAACTGGGGCTTCATGTGACCATACATGGCTAGGATAGCAAGTGTGTATCCTTCCTCTTTCCCCTCCCAAGGGAGCAAGTATAAATTATAACTGAAGTGTGTAACTTCTACTTCCCTCTAGGAGGGAGGGGTAAGCCTGGGGGAGTGTCAACATTTGCATTTACAGTAGCTGTTTTCTACACTGTGGGTCGGCAACTGAAAGTTGTTTTGCCTTCACAGGAAGAGAGAGAGAGAGAGAGAGAGAGAGAGAGAGAGAGAGAGAGAGAGAGAGGGAAGCAGAGACAGAGAGACAGAAAGAGACAGAGAAAGGGGGCTATGTACAGTTATGAATGTGTGGAGCTCCTTGTAAATGTTTCCAAGATGACAGAGATGTAAAGCTGTCCCTTCCAGACAAGCAGGCTAACAGCTTAAATGTCCGTGAAATTTTAGATCCGTGATCACACAGATGATCAAGAAGCTACTTTCTATAAAACACAGTCCCTAGACAGGTGGGATGAGAGGAATTGCTTGTAATGGGATATATTAGCCATCTTCAGAGACAAGATCCAAACAAGTTAAGAGCAACAGTAAAGTGGATGCAACTCTGAGGTGGTTGGGCTTCACGTCTGTGTGCATGCTGGTAGCCAAGAGATTTGCCCAGCTCCCGTGTGGGCGCAGCTGTCCCTCCTTTAAATCCGATTTCTCACCATCTGCTCCTTTACTCCAGCCTTGGTTGCAAATAAAAATCAATGCACAGCAATGCATTGTGTTGCCAGGCAGCAATCTGTGCTCTTCCAGAAGTCGATTCTGAGATGAAAGTCTGGGGGCTTCATTAGTTTTCCTGACAATAGAAATTGTGGGAGAGTTGAAAGTGATTTTAGAAACTGAATTTCCAACTGCCTTTGGTAAACATGGAGGGTATAATTGTCTGGTGTTTTTTTTTTTTTCTTATATCCTGTAAGAAACACTGAAATGAGTTGGGAGGATTTAACATTCAGAAAAGGATTTCCCTTGCCCTGAAGAACAGTGAGAACCTTGTGAGGTGCCCGTCCCCACTGCCACAGTGAACAAGTCAAGGGAGAAACCGAGGACCAGCTTCAGGGCCCTGGGATCTTGATGCGTCCGAGTTTGCATTTGGCATGGGGGAGGGGGTGAAGGACAGAGGAGTCAGGCATGACCTGAAGACTGGTATCTAGGAAAGAAGCTTGTGGCCCTGAGAATGTGCCAGAAGAACCAACCATCTGGCAGCTGTGGGGAGGGATCAGCTGACCTCTGACCTCCAGTTGGGGCTTAACAGCTATATAATATTTATAACACACCCTTCCTAGGGGAAGCCTGGTATACCACATGTCTTCGAATGGATCCAGCTAGTCCTGTTCAGTCTCATGGGTAAACAAAGTAAAGAGGAGAAAAAAAGATTTTTAAAAAAATCATATTTAAAGGGGTCACTGCCATGGCAAAAGAGAAAACAACACCTACTCTGCTAGGCAACAACAGGGAAAGCAACTCCGTGTCTCCACCAGTTCTCAGTCCAGACAGCAGCAGAAGCGGGCAGAATCCACTCCCAGGGTCCATGGTGATCACTGTGAGTCATTGTTCATTCACAGCTCCCTTCCCATTGTAGGGAGGGACTTGGCTGTTTGGGGCCCTGTGGTGAGCCAGCAAGCTCTTGGCCATTGCAGCTGGGGCCTGAGGTTGTGTGAGGATGATTAGTCAAGTAAGTAAATGCCCTGAGGGTGATGGAGGCATCAGGCTTCTTGCTGTCTGGAGGAAATTACAAAACAGAAAGGGAAAGACTACGATAAACTGGTTGCTAGACTGTGTGGTCGAAGAGCCAGTGCGCACTCAGAGCTTTGAGTGGACATAGATATTGACAAGTATGTACATGTGGGTACACACACATATACATGCACAGGCACAAATTCATATATAGATATGTACATATATAGATAGCTATAGATACATATGTATATGGGTATACACACACACACACACACAGATAGGTATACACATTTATTTCCTGGTTCTCTGGGCTGAGAAGGTTAGAAGCAAAGATATCTTGATAGCCGGGCGGTGGTGGCACACGCCTTTAATCCCAGCACTTGGGAGGCAGAGGCAGGTGCATTTCTGAGTTCCAGAGTTCGAGGCTAGCCTGGTCTACAGAGTGAGTTCCAGGGCTACACAGAGAAACCTTGTCTCGAAAAACCAAAAAAAAAAAAAAAAAAAAAGATATCCTGATAGTACTGAGCATGCCCAGATAGAGTTCAGCTACTAAATATCATTCTCCATTTAAATAGTTGGCTTTAGGAGTGGAGTGTTGAGAATAAACTATGGGACAAGGACAGGGACAATTATGCTATGAACTAAGGAGATGTTCAAAGCATGTTGGGGACATAGCAAAAGCACCCAGAAGTTAGCAGCCTTAAAGGCCTTCTTACAGGTCGAGGCTGATCTGGGACTCCTGGGCTCAGAAGAACCCCAGACCTCAGCTTCCTGAGTAGCTGGAACTACAAGTATGGGTTAGCATACCCAGTAATAGTTACTGATTTTAAAGCTTGGAGTACCATAGGAATCTGTGGGTCTGTACTAATTAAGAGGAAAGGAACAGGGTTGGGGAGCTGGTTCCATAAGCAAAGTGCCTGAAGACAAGCTAGGAGTGAAGGCATGTGTCTGTACTCCCATGGTTTGGGAATCAGAGGCACGTGGATCCGTAGGGCAACCCACTGCTCGGCTAGTTCTGGGCCCATGTTAGGTCTATAGCTCAAAACAAAAACAACAAGAAAATGAAAACAAACAACCCCCCAAAAAGAAAATGAAAAACAAAAACAACAAACAAAATACCTGGAAAAACTCAGGCATCTGATGTCTGAGGAACCACAGCCGAGGTTGTCTTTTGGCCTCCACATACAGGCATACACATGAGCCCTTTTACACAGAAACAAAATTAAATGAGCAAATAGAGAAAAGAAGAAACCTTTGTCTTTTAATGGAAGCTTTAAGGTATCTCATGACCAAATGCTTAGGAGTCGCTCAGTGAAAAATCTCTGTCAAACACTGACTTTACCAAATGGACAAATTGGTATCGCTTGCCTCCTGGCACAATCCAGTAAGAGCAAAATTTTACCTCAGAGATTCTTGCTTTGAGTGCGTAAATCACAAGGGAAATCATATGAGACACTACAGAAAGACACGTGTGCATCAGAAAATGTCAAGGTTAGAGAAGAAGGGAAAATGGAGGCATTGTTCCAAACTGAAGATTAAAAACTATTTAAAGAACTTGAAACTGCACAAGGTATAATTGGTACTATATGGTAAATATTGTTGAATTATATGGTGAATTAGGAAGAGTATTGGCAGCCAGTGTTGTTCATGGATACTGTTCATTGATGGGTTTGTTATGTGAGATAGCATCTTTGTTTATAAGAAACACCCATTGTAAGATTAAACAGGGAGGGGTTATCCTGTCTACAACACTTATTTTTTTTTTTCAAATGGTTCAGGAAAAAAAAGCAGCTTTGGTGTATATATGTCTAGAGAATAAAGCAGATGTGATACATTAATGTTCTGGGTAATAAGCAGTATGTGGGGTACTTGAGGGTAGAATTGGAAAGTACTTAGAGTTTCAAGTATTATTCATACAAATGTTCTATATATTTTAAATTTCAAAGTGAAAAGCCCGAAGAAAGTCTCTACTGTGGATCTCTGCCACAGGGTAGCAATGACTCAGACTGAGAAGGTTGGTTTAAACCAAGTCCAGTGTTTGTGGAGTGATGTGTCATTACAGTGCCACACGCCCCTACAGGGACCCAAGAAAGGTTGCCATGGAAATGGAGTAGGGTGGAAGGGGGGATGGGCATGTCAGAGAAACTACACACAGAGCTGCTTCAGGAATGAAATGAGCCAGAGGGTCGTAGGGAGGAGTGTGTTTGGAGAGGCCCCTGGTCAGACTGGGCAGGACTGGTGCGTGTGATCACAGAACTTACAAGATGTCTGCCTTTGATTTCCTTTCAGTTAGATCCAGGCTGGCCTCTTTCTCACCTCCACACACTTGCTCCCTGACAGCAGGGAGGTTTGGGAGCCTGCAGCACCATCAGGGGCCTCTAAAGGTTAGCTTCCATCTGCCCTCTGACTTGATTATCTCACTCCCCTGCAGACAGAAGAGTCCTTCTTGCCTTTGTTTACCATTGCGGATCTTCTCTGTTTAGTGTGTGTATCGTATATGTGCCTCGTGTGTGTGTGTGTGTGTGTGTGTGTGTATACATTGTGTACTTGTACATATGGAGGCCAGAGGTCAGAGTTGGCTAACTTCCTCAATCTCCATTTGACCAGCAAGCTTTAGGGAGCCACCTATCTCTGCGTCTCTGACACTGAAATTACAGTCTTGTGTTGCATTCAGCTTTATTTCTGGTGCCGAGAAGCCAAACTGCTTCTGCTTGCTCATCAAGAGCTTTACCAGCTAAGCCATCTCCCCAGACCCACACATGTGGCCCTTTATGGACTTGTCAACCTGTCGGTATATTCTCCTGGCTTGCAGTCTCCTGGGCAATGCTGCTTCCTGCCTCTCTGGCTTCAGTGGGGACTTAATCATTTCTGAAGTCATCAAACGGACCTAGCAAGTCCCTCGGATCACGTTTCTCCCTCGCCTTTCCTTCTTTTGGAGGCTAAAGGCTTCACCTAATAAAAATATTTTTCAGGCTTTCCATTTTCACATTGGGAGGAATTCAAATCTGGGGGGGAGAAAAAAGATTTTCACTCTACCTTGGAGCCACCATTGCAGCTGGAGGGAGAGATGGCTAGCGTGCTTAGCAGGTAAGCGACAGGCTCTGCCATGCCAGCAACTTGAGTTCCTGGCTGATTAATGATTCAGTGACTAATGCACACCGAAAGCTGCGAACCATTCTTTGGAGTTATGTTTGGCCAGGCTCCATAATAGCCACCTCGGATTGTAACAGCCAACCAGAATGACACTAACCACCAATCAGGGGCTGGGAGTGTCTTACATCAAAACAGGGTATTTACACAAGGCTAACCACCTTCTCGGTCCTGCTATAATGATTATCAAGCACCAGCACTCCGATAAGCAGGTTTTATCCAGGCACCACAAACATCCAGTGTATGTCACAAGCTGGGTAGCTAGGCACCACCTGGCCCATCTGTGGCAAGAGACAGCATTTGGGGCAGAGAAGGCAGCTGCTACCTCTGGATATGCAGCAGCCATCCTTAGCCCTCAACTGTGACGGAGGCTCCGGTTACAGAGCTAAATGCCACTTAGCCTTCCACATAGTAACTGCAATTAGTGTTTAAAAGCATCTTCCCTAAGCCCACTCATATTTAGCATATACGTCATGTATTAAGACTGCTGTCTTCCTTCAAACAAGGGATCATGACTCTGTTGAAGTGTGTAAAGGGGTTTCCAAGGAGGAAGGTCCCTTCTTTCTATAGTTAACAGGCACTCTTAAAGCTCTTTTGCCTTAGCCAGTTTTCACCATTTGCTTTGTACCACCTGTTGTTTTGCCCCGGAGGGAGCAGCCTCCTCACCTCCTAGGTAAGGTGGCAGCTGTCTGGAGACTTTTCAACACCAGGTTATTTTAAGGCATGTGAAAAGTGGGTGAAAACTAATGCTAGTGAGAAAGTATGTTTTTTAAAAATACTTAAAAATAAATCAGAATAGTCGTTTATCCCCGTGGAGCAGCTAGCACCTTCCCGGGACTGGGAATGTAGGGTGGGGTGGGGGTGGGGGTGGCAAGAAATGTTGACAAGTTTTATCTTGAAAACTGTCATAGAGCATCCTTACTGAAACCAATATGACTCTCTGCCATTCGATGGAGTGGCATTTGGCCAATGGCAGGACAGCAAAAGGATTGCTGGGTCCCAGGGATTCCACACTGAACAAAGGAGCTCACTGCCGTATGTTACAGCATTTCCAACTGTGTCCTTGGTAGTAAATACCAGCTTGATCCCATGGCCTGCTGAGATGTCCTTAAAACAAAACACACGCACGCACACACACACACACACACACAGAGACAGAGAGACAGAGAGAGAGAGACAGAGAGAGAGAGACAGAGAGAGACAGAGAGAGAAAAGGAGAGAGCCTGAACACACACATTCCTGTATTGGACAACTGTATACCAGCGCTGCTTCATGGGGTAAGCCAAAATAAACGGACACACTGGCAGCTGTTGGGCTTTATCGGAAGGGGCACTTCACACCCAGCTTCTATGCTGACCATAGGGTGAGGGTGGAGCAGGGCCCAGAAAACGTAGGGCAGCTGGTCTTAGAGTATGATTCTCACGCTCCTAAATTTAGTCCATCAAGTCATGACATCTCTTCTGGTCGGGGCTTGTGGTTTTAAAGATGACTGCTCGTGCACTAACCCATTATGATAAACAATCCAAAAATTCTTCTGGAAAGACCAAAGTCAGCACCCAGCGCATGGCAGTTTGAGTTTTCACCAGCCGTACGCCTTGGCACCCAGTCAAGATGCCACCTGACCTTTAAGTTAGCCAAGCTCGTAGATGCTTCTTCTCGGGCCTCAGACGTGAAAAAACGCTGTGACATTTTTAGAGATACAGAATCTCATCAGAGAGGTTGAAGGGTGAAGAAAATAAAGATGTCACCTGTTTTTAAATGGACGTGTTTCACGTTAGAGACCTGCATGGAGAGAGCGTGGAGAACAGCACGCAGGTGTAAGCTTCTATTTAGATGTGGTAAATGCAGACATAAAAGATAGGTCAGGAGGCAGAATTTGGCCCAGATGTCAAACCTAGCCTGACACTTTCGTTCAGCTCATGGGTCTAAAGTTGCATTACTTTTAAATGGCTAGAGAAAGAAAATCAAAAGAAGAACAGTGTTTTGTGGCACATGATAATTGCATGACATTCAGGCGTCTTTTTGTATATATGTGTATGTGAAAGTGGCTGCATATATGTGCAAATGGGCAGCTGTGCATACACACGTGGCTACGAGTTACACATGCTGGGCTGTGTCAGTTCATGTAAAGGTCAGAGGGTAACTCAGGTGCTATTTCTCGGGAGTCGCCCAGATTACTTTTTGAGACAAACTCTCTTGCTGCCCTGAACTTTATCAGGTCAGCCACTGAGCCCCAGGGATCACCTGTGTCCACCTTCCAATTGCTGGGATTACAAACAGGCACTACATGTTCAGTTTTATTCTGGGGATCAAACTCGGGTCCTCTTGCTTGCAAGGAAAGCACTTTACCAACTAAGCTATCTCCCCAGCCCCCAAGCCCCATAAACTCTCAACACGCTTAAGTAAGATTTAACTGAAATGCAGCCATGCTCACTAATTTGTTTATTGTTGATGGCCAGTCTCATGCTACAGTGGGCAGCAGAACTGAGAGGTTCTGACAGAGACTATGTGGGCCCCCAAATCAAAAATGATCACTGGCCTTTACAGGAAGCTACTAATGGGGTTCATGTGGAAGGCTCAGGGTCAGTTGAAGAACCAGAAGAATTCCAAGAAGGGAGAGGTTACTTTGGGTGGAAATAACCTTTGAGTGTGCCCAAGCAGAGCGTAATGGGTAACATTGGACATCATGGTCTGTGGACAAGATCAGCAGATTTGGCTGTACCACCGCGTTCTTGTCAATTTCTTGTATTTCAGTTTTCTCAGCTGTTAAATGGAAATAAGCCCTACTTCCCAGGGCTCGGGGTAGGACATGGTACACCATAAGTTACCCTGGAACAAACAGCTGTTACTTCACAAATGTCAGCTGTTAGCAACCAAGCCTCTTATTCATGGTCACATTTGGCCATCTATTGATACAACTAAGTCAGCATTTCATCTAAAACTCAAGCCTCCCAGAGGTCATAAGTGAAAAAGTTTAAAAGAGATGAATTTAAGCAATTGTATTTTTTATGAAGTTTCAAAAAATTATGGCAAAGGATAATTGCAATAGAAGATATCCCAGTGTGTTCTGTGAGAATAAAATACAAATAAAAAATTGCCGGGTAGCTACAGTTACTCACGTGTATAATCCTAACATTCCGGAGCTGAGGTAGGATGACTGCCCAGAGCTGGAAGTCAGCTTGATCACAAGGAAAGTTTCAGATCACTCCAGGCTATGGAGCAAGACCTAGTCTCAAAAATTCAAAAGCAAAATTAAATAAGTAAGACAATATTATTAAATAATTTTCCTAGTGTATTATAGCATAACAAAGAAAGAAAGAGGGAATGAAGGAAGGACAAAGGACAGAAGGAGGAGGAAGAAAAGAAAAACTGGTATGTTAGCATAGTTTTGTTCTTTAAAGATTTATTTATTTATTATTTATGATTACACTGTCGCTGTCTTCGGACACACCAGAAGAGGGCATCAGATCCCATTACAGATGGTTGTGAGCCACCATGTGGTTGCTGGGATTTGAACTCAGGACCTCTGGAAGTTCAGTCAGTGCTCTTAACCACTGAGCCATCTCTCCAGCCCCCAGTTTGTTTGTTTTTTTTAATGGTCACTCTGGGTTTACAGAAACAGAAATTCTGTTTGGTCAGTACATCTGAAAGTCTTCATGAGAACCTTGTGAAAGCTATTGACCCTTTGATAAATGCACCACACACACACACACACACACACACGTACACACACATGCACATACTTGTGCACACACACATATGTACTCTCCCACATACATTCCCCCCACACACACACTTACTTTTGCATAAACTCTCAGAACTTAATGGCTCCCTTGAAGCCCATCCATGGGTTTCCAGTTAAGGAAGCCTGCCGTACTTGCTCACTCAACCTTATACAACCCATAAGATAATGATACATGGACCAGAAGGCCAAATTACTAATTTATGAAGAAGAAATAACATCAAGTGGATTAAAAACCTTCACTCTGGCTGATCAGTTCATTATCTTGCTGTATAAAAGCTTCACAGACAAAGCACAATTAAAAGGGAGTGTGGAACCATAGCAAAGGGAGTTTGAAATGGTCTTAATAGCTTTGGTCGCCAAGGTACAGTAGTCTGCCCCATCTGCTTCTGCTGGAAACGTAGCCCCTCAGGGACGGTAGGGAAGCTGGCCTGGACCTCCTTCCATGGGCAGTTCTTGACATTTACACTCTGTACTTGCAGAAGCAGCAAACGCTATATCCTTTGGTTCCTGCTCTTGCCAAAGATGGGGTGGGGGGGGGCACTACGAGCACTAGAGGCCACATTTAGGCAAGCTAATTTCCTTATTCCCTGTCTAGTCCCTTCTATCAGGAAATATACCCAATGTTAGGAAATGACCCAGGTTTCCTTCACAGAACTGACACTGAGCAGCTAACAACTCCCAGTAACTCCAGCCCCAGAAGATCCAATTCACTCTTCTGCCTCCTCAGGTACTGATGTGGCATACCTTCACATAGACAAGATTCATATATGCATAATCGAACGTCAAATGCCTCTGTAAACAAACACACAAACACGTGGCCCAAAGCAGGGCCTCCTTGTATCTAGTTTTGGGTTATGTGATCCCAGGTGTGCTGGCTTGACACAAGCTAAACTCATCTGAGAGGGGACAGCCTCAATTAATAAAGTGCCTCCAAAACTCCATGGACTCTACAATCAGGAAGCCTCTGTGGGTCTGCCCTGGGTCCTCTGCATCTGTGTTATGGGGAATAGCTCGGTGTTCTTGTGGGACTCCTCACAGTGGAGTCGGGGCTGTCTCTGACTCTTGCCTGCCTTTGAGACCCTGTTCCTCCTGTTGGGTGGCCTTGTTCCAGCCTTGCTGTGAGATCACATGCCTGGTCTTGTTGTATCTTGTTATGTCATGTTTGGTTGATGCCCCTCTTTTCTGAGGTTGAGGCCTGCTCTTTTCTGAGGGGAAGTGAAGGGGGCATGGATCCAGGAGAGGGACTGGGGGGAGGGGGAGGGAGATTGTGTGTGGGGGAACTGCAGTTGAGATATAATAAATGAGAGAAGAATGAATGGGGGGAGGGGGAGGGAACTGTCTCCATAGGATCAGGCTGCAGGCAAGCCTGCGGGGCGTTTTCTTAACTAGTGATTGATGGGGAGGACCCAGCCCATCGTGGTGGGTCGAGCCATCCTTGAGTTGATAGTCCTAGGCTCTATAAGAAAGCAGGCTGACCAAGTCAGGAGGGGAGCAAGCAGGTAAGCAGCATCCCTCCATGGCCTCTGCATCAGCTCCTGCCTCCAGGCTCCTGCTCTGACTTCCTTTGGTGATGGACTGGGATGTAGAAATGTCAGTCAAGTAAACCCTCTCCTCCCCAGCCGCTTTGGTCCTGGGGTTTTGATACAGCAGTAGGAACCACAACTAGGACACGGCGGGAAGAGAGCTAAAGCCATGAAACAGGACAGAGTCAAGGCAGGATCGGTGGAGGAGGGGATGCCTGACCCCAACATATCCACAGTGGGAGCTTTCGGTACAGAACAGAAGCACATACTGCAATACACCCAGTGCTTCTGGAAATCAGTGATAAGGCATTACAACCAGAGAGCAGATGATTTTAGCTTGAGTTCATGGACCATTTCTCTTTTAGCCCCTTTCTCTGCAAAATTACAACAGTTTGCTAGACTGCTATTTCAGTGGGAGAGTCCAACTGTATTGCTCTCAAGGTGTCTTGTTGCGTGGAGAACAGTTGAAAATTCAGGTACCATGTCTGGGGACATGGACCTGTGGTTAAGTCACCTGCTATACAAGCATTAGGGAATGGAGTTTGGATCTCCAGAAGTCATGTAAATGCTGAGTGGGTGTGGCAGCCCACCTGTAATCCCAGCACTCTTGACGACCGGACAGGGAAGCTCTGGAGCAAGCATCCGGGTTCAACTGAGAAACCCTGCATCAATGAATTAGATGGAGAATCATTGAAGAAGACTTCTAACATCAACCTCAGGTCTTTACATGCATGCACAGACATGTGCATGTGTTTATGCATCCACACACATGTGAACATACATGCACACACACACACACACACAGAAAAATACTGGTCTAATCACTTTCATAGTTGCTGTAATTAAGGTGAAAAAGATTTTTTTAAATTCAGGGCTTAAAACTTTTTAATGATTCATGCAATTAGATTCAAATGCAGTCACTAGTGTTGAATGCCCATTTGCTCAGGGCGGGGAATGGGACAATTGGACTGACAGACTACAGAATGGAATGCAGAAGTGAGCAAGGCGCCATCTTTCCCATCTATGAAATACTGACTGAGGGCAGTGAGGCAGTCATGCCCTGCTCCTCTCCCCACCTCCAAGGTCAAGTTGTCACCCCTCATGTTTAAGGACTGGAATACTTGCTATGGAGAAGGATATATTCTCACGAATGTTTATATTGCAAAAATGAGAACTGTCCGTTTGTTTGTGAGACTTGAAATAGGAAGGCCTAAGCTGCGGTGGGAGGATGTAGGCACCAGAGACATCCAGGAAACCTCACATGTTTAAATATATCCGTCCCTGTCATTTGGCCCAGGAGGAAAGAGCAATGTCAGGAATGAAGCGCTAATGTTGCTAGCAGCATTCTGGAAGAGACACTGGAGACAGCACTGGGAGGTATGTGCGGCAGGCTGTGTGACCCAGCAGCTGAGGATTCTCAGAAGCCTGGTCCATGAGCCTTTTGAGAACAAGGCAGATGGGACCCCAGGGGAATTTTCTGAATTCTTTTTGCTTCAGCCAAAATTCCAAGATGGAACAATGTGAAGGGTGACAAGACCAAATGGAAGGGAAGATGGGGGGAGGGGGGTGGAGGCGAACCCCAGAGATTGCTATTTTGGAAGGCTGGTTGAACTGGGGACAGTGTGGGGGAGGAGGGGAGAGACAAAACCATGTCTGGATGTTCAATGCAAAAAAAATTTTCTTTTCTGATTATGATTAGTACTGGGTCCTTGGGATTTAACGTTTACTGAGTGCTGAGTTCCTAAACAGTACACTTGCAAGTGTGGCTCTATAAGAAGGGAACAGTCCTGTGAGGACAGTGTCACTGTCACTATAACCTACACAAGCAATGACACAGAAGCTTAAAGAATTCCTGGTGTTGGAAGATGATCAGTGCAGTTTTGGAGAAAATCAATTTCAGGTGTCATGATTTGTAATCGGGACTCTCCAAGCATACATTGGAGCCAGGCACAGTGCTACGTATCTGCAGTCTCAGCTTCTCAGAAGTTTGAGGCCAGCCTGGGCAACTTTGTGAGACCTAATCTTAGAATCAATCATCAATCAATTAGAAATTGATCCTGGAGGACTGGAGGGTGGGAGCAATGAGAGGAAGAGAGGATGCAGGGTATATAGATCTTTTGTTCTACAGAGACTGTCAGGTCATTTGAATTATGATCATATGACTATATAATAGTTTGATAAATAAAAAAATGTAAAATTAAAAAGATTAAAAGTTGAGGAAAAAGAAATTTGAGGCTAACATAGCAATTCTAGCTGGACAGTGGTGGTGCATGCCTTTAATCTCAGGAGGGAGAGGCAAGCTGGTGAGTTTGAGGCAGTTTGGACTACAAAGCCAGGGCTATACAGAGAAACCCTGTCTCATAACAGCCAATCAGAAGCAAGCTTAAATACTCTTGTTAGGTCACAGCGTGGACTCTGCACTTGTAAAGTGCACTTAGAAGGCACTAGGAAAGATTCACACCCCTGAGGTAATCCAGGAAACGTTTGCCCCGTGGAGAGAACTGAGTGAACATTTCAACAGAAAATGTGCAGGAATGATTCTCTGCCCCATCCTTCCGGGAACCACTGGCTCAGGCGTTTTAGTAAGAGTCCAGGGCAGACAAAGCACTGCATGGAACTTAATTATGCATTACTTGGTTTCTTTTATGGTTCTCAAACCAAGTGGGGTTATTAAATGCTTTACGTTTAATCTGTATCTACTACAAGCAGAGACTGAGTCTGACTGCCTGGGAGGAGACCCATACTTCCATAGTTCCAACTCTCTCAGGTCTCCGGTCAGCCAAGAAAATGATGAATGAATTGGAAGAAGGGTGCCTTATGGACCAGAGAACATTAAGGCTTAAGAGATCTTTTTTTTTTCCCTTTAAAGATGTAATAACGTTATATATATGAGTGCACTGGCACTGTGTTCAAACACACCAGAAGAGGGCATCAGATCCCATTACAGATGGTTGTGAGCCACCATGTGGTTGCTGGGAATTGAACTCAGGACCTCTGGAAGAGCAGCCAGTGTGCTCTTAACAGCTGAGCCATCTCTCTAATGGTTAAAGCGATCTTAAAGGTCGGTGAAGATGGTACTGTTCAAACCTTAGCATGCCTCAAGGACATCAGAATATTCTCAAAGTTTCTGGTTCTGTCTGGGATGGAACCTAAGAATTTACATTTCTTACTACCTCCCAGCTGGTGCTGTTTCAGGAGGGTAATAATCTGAAGACCACTAAGTTAGCACAAGCTCCCCATCTTAAGGAAGAGGAAACAGGCCTACTGTTGTCCTAGGTCTTTCAGTTATTAGAGCTGGAACAAGAATCTCATTCTCTCCCTCTGCTCTAAATGCTTCACCAAGTGTTCTAAAAGCAAGAATATCCTCTGTTATAGTCACAGTAAAATTACAATACGAAGAAACTAACATTAAAACAATATGGACTTTATCAGCTCTCCCTCCGTGGCATCCATATTCGGGCAGACTGAATTGCATCTCACCCGTTTCCTTTATCTGAAGCAGCCCTGACTCTTTTCTCTATTTTTCAGGACGATATGTTTAAGGGGTACAGGTCTGTTACTCTAAAGAACCACCTAAAATTTAGGTTTATCTGATACTTCCTTGTGATAAAACTCAAGTTCTGAACTTGGGGCACACACAAATATCATAACAGTGGCACCAGAGGTCAACGTGTCCCATTTTCCAGCAATGGAAATGTTGATCTCATGGTGAAGAAAGATGGTATCTGCTGGATTTCTTCCACAATAAAGTTATCGATTTTGAAATTAATGCCATGTGAAGAGAGTTTGATACTATGCAGGTCTATTCTTCCACACATTTCTTGTTCCAGTTCCATTAACCACTGGTACTTTGTCTGAATGATGTTGTTACCAGGAGGAGAATTCAATGGTATCCTTTTTTTTCCTTGTTTGTTCACTCGAATTTTACATTAAATTTTACATAAAATTTCTCTCCTTATTTGTCTTCTTAATTGATTCATTATCAGCGAAAACTCGTAGATTCTTTAACTCTAGAGTCCATGTCTCTTGGTTTCCAAGTTAAATCTCTTTCTACCACATGGTACTGCCATTTACAAACTATTAATTCAGAATGGTTATTATCACGTTCATTCAAAGGCCAGGCTGACATACCATCACATGCAGCTTAACCGCAGAGGCGGACTGTGAGGAACGAGCTATTAGAGTTTCACAATTGTATCTGAACATCACAGAGCACAGCTTACACAAACCTTGAAAGTAGAGGTCACTCACCCGCCATTACCCCTTGATGCAATCAAGAGATGCTGTAATCAGAGATGTGTTTGACTACTGTTGCCACAGCATTGTGCTTCACCTTAATTATTTTTCCCACAATAAACATTCCAAAGCAATGATTAAAAGCATACAGGCTGGAGAGATGACTCAGTTGCTATGCATACTTGCTGAGTAATCAGGAGGACCAGAGTTCAGATCCCAGCAACCACATAAGCCTAGCATTCTGAACATTCCAGTAACTGTAGATTCCAGAGATCTGATACCCTCTCCTGGGATACACATGTGCAGAAAGGCATGCACCCCCACACACACACATGGCTGCATACATTCACACACACACACACACACACACACACACACACACACACACACACACACACATCCGTGCAGACTTATATAAGTAAATAGGAGATCGAGAGATGGCTAAGCAGTGAAGAACACTTGCTGCTCTGCACTTGTGGGTGATCCAAATTGAGTTCCAAGCATCCATGTTGGGAGATTCATAACCTTCTACAAATCCAGCTCCAGGGATCCATCTGCCCCTTCTGGACTCCCCAAGCATCTGCCTTCGTGTGGATGTACCCACCCCCTCACATACACATAATTTAAAAACAATAAAAATAAATATCTTTTAAAAGTATGGCATAGTCACTACACAAACTAGTAAATGATTGCTTATTATCATCGTCATGTATTCTGCATCATACATAATTGCATATACTATATTTTTCTATGACTGATGGGCAACACAAGTGGGCTTGTTTATACCAACATCACCATAAACCGTGTGAGCAGTGTGTTCTGCTGTCACCTGGGCATGACTGCAATTAGACATTACTAGACATTAGAAGTCTTTGGCTTCATTATAATCTTACAAGGTCAACAACCTATGCCACTATTGATCAGAACATTGCTATGCTGACCCATGGCTATATTTCAAAACAACAAAGTGAATACAAAAAGTGTATGTTTTAATTTTTCAGCTAAAAATTAATTTTATGAAGATTAAACTATAGTAGCTGGTCTACATAACAGAAATAGCATGCAAGTTGTGAGAGTCACACAAGGACTTTGCATTTTTGGACAGTAATATTAAAAAGGAGAGAGTAAACACTACCAAATCAAATTGGAATATTTAAAAAGACTTGGCTATATACTTAATGGTTATCCTCTTTCCTAACCAGTGCAAAGTCCAAGCTAGAACAAAGTGCACCAGCAGTCTGCATGGAACTGGGACTGTGGTGCTGGATATTTTCTGAGTCACAATAACAATTTAAAAAGTTTATGGTGGTTCACATCTATAATCCCAGCATCAGTAGACTGAGACAGGAGGATTTCCATGAGTTTGAAGCCATCCTTTACTAGAGTGTAAGACTATCTAAAAATCAACAATTTTCTTTGTTTTTGTTTTGCTTTTTTTTTGCACTAAAATCAGTAAGTTTGCCCTTTCTGCCTGCTCTAAGTGCTTTTCAGTGTGCGTGTGTGAGAAATATAATCATATTTATACAACCAGCCTTGAGGAAAGGAATGGGCAGAATTTAACAGAGACAAAGCAGATTTTTATGAAAGAAAAATATGCCTTAGTCAGTTGGCAGGGCTCTCTGCTCAGCCCACCACACCACAGTGTTTTGGGGTTGCATGATAGAGGGACATTTGGGGCACATGGGTGTTTGTATGTTTGAGTCCAAAGGAGAATGCCAGCTCAGAAGTAAATATTTGCCGTGTTGACTACCAATTCTGCTATCTGATTAAAAAGAAGTAAACATTTCCCACATCTTTGATTGCATCACGACGCCATTGTGTAAGCAAAACAAGGCAGCTGGGAGGCAGAAGTAAGACACGGCTCACACTCTAAACACAGTTTGCTTTTAAGAAACAAGCATAGATAACTCTGAATCAAAGAAATAAAAACATTATCTAAGGTTTCATATGCCTCTACCCTTTAGGATTCATCCTGAGGGAAACTCCTGTCTGGGTTTAGGGATGTAAGTCCAATGCTAGAATTTGCTGGGAATCAGACAGCAAATAAAACAAGCTGAGATGGGCCATTTGGCAAAGGCTGAAGATGTTTTTGTAGCTGTCACATGAGTAGGGTAGAGAGCAAACTGACAGTTAATGGGTATAGTCAATGTGTTTAATGTCTTGTCATGTATGGGTCGATCCATGTAGCAGGCTCTGGCCTGTCCAGAAAGATGCTGTTACCCAGTGGAGAATCAGAAGGCCTTGCTGGAGGCTTAGCACTGGACGGATTCTCAGAAGATACTCCTTTGAAGTGAAGAAGTGTAAGGATGGGAGATGTGGGAGATATGGGCTGTGGCCATTACTGGGTTTGGGACTAGAGAGAGCTCGTCTGTAGTGAGAGAAACTACAGCAGCTGAGTAAGAAGAAACAGGGACTCGCAACTGACCACAACTTCTGCCATACTGTCAGGATTCTTATCCTCCTGAGCTAGAGACCCAGCTACATGCTGCGGCTGTTTTCTGGGACACCCTGTTATTTACAAAAAAAAAAAAAATCCCTAACTTTGTAGAAGGTAATTTCTACAGTGGCATCTTCTTCACACTGAGCAATAGAGAGAGCCCATGTAGAGAGAGACTGAACAGAAGTCTGAGGTCACAAGCTACAACGAATCTGCTGACCTTCGAGTATAAGTGGATCCATCCCTTGCAAGGGAAAGATTGGCAACAGCTTTACCACCCCGATTCCTCACGGAGGTCAGGGGTGCTGGCGATTTAATGAGCTCCATTGCTCAGGGTACAAATGCAAAGTCAGTTAAGGAAATATCTGCCAGCTTGGGGAAGAAAGAAAAGATCACATTTTTGAAAAAGAAAATGAAAACTAAAACCAACAACCCTCCCATTCAAAGGAAACTGTCTCCTGAAACGGCAGCCTTACTCTCAGGGTTACCTTGTCGTCTGCTTGAGTGCGGTGCCCAGGTTAGCACAGAAGGTGACAGCCATTTTCCTGCTTCTCTTGGACTCTGATACACAGTAGGAAGCAGCGGGTTAGTGGTGTGTTTCTGTGGACTGCCGCTCAATTGTATGTTTCTGGATTCTTAAACTGGACAGGGAGATTAAGAGCTTTGTTTTTGCAAGTCAGTAGATCCCCTCACCCAGTGGTTCTCAACCTTCCTAACACTGCAACTCTTTAATAATACAGTTCCTCATGGGGTGGTAAACCCCCAAAGCCATAAAACTATTTTCGTTTCTACTTCATAACCATAATTTACTACTGTTATGAATTGTAACGTTAAAAAAAAAAAAGGTCGGGCGGTGGTGGCGCACGCCTTTAATCCCAGCACTTGGGAGGCAGAGACAGGCAGATTTCTGAGTTCAAGAGTTCGAGGCCAGCCTGGTCTACAGAGTGAGTTCCAGGACAGCCAGGACTACACAGAGAAACCCTGCCTAAAAAAAACAAAACCAAAAAAAAAAAAAAAAAAAAAAGAATAGTAACATAAATATCTGTGTTTTCCAATGATCTTAGGCCACCGCTTTGAAAGGGTCATTTGACCCCGGAGGGGGTCTCGATCCACAGGTCAAGAACCACTGATCAAACGATGCAGGAATGATGGCTAGGTAACTAGTCTGCATTCCCAGTTGTGTAATGAGCAGTGCATCTGGACAGGGGAAGACCACGTGTAGGCAGAGTCGTGTGGATACTGGAGTGGCTTGAGGTGGGGGGGAGCTGTCTCCTGGCACAGCTTCCATCCAAGTCTTGCTTTTCTTGGATTTCAAAGAGGACTCTGGGCTTCCTGGTATTGTTATCATCCTCTGTTAGCACGGACAGACGCGGCACTAGGATTCTCTTGAATCCTCTCCTCTCTGCGGCGTTCACGTGGATCCTCCCATTCCTCCATCTTTGTGTCAAGGACTGGCCTCACCGCTGATTGCTTTGCTTTGTTTTGGTTGTTTTGAACATGGTCTCATAGAGCACATAGGCTTTGAACTTCCTATGTAGCCGAGTCTAGCCTTGAACTCCTGCTCCCCCAGCTCTTCCAGGAGCTCCTGTCCCCAGCCAGAAGTCTCACCGGTCTAGTTGTTCTGAGTTTTGAACCTTGCAATGCCTAAATGACTCTGGAGTGACAGGGAGACAGTAGAACCCAACACATGGAGCAAACTACATATTGGTTTAACTTGAATTTAAACCAAACTGAGTTCTAACACGTCAGTACCTGAACTCCCTGGGTCTTTGGGTTTTGTTTATTCCTTTCTCTGCAGGAAGAGAAAGGCCTTTCTTATCTCCCAGGTCACTTGCAATCCTAAAATTGTTAAGGAGCAAAGGTGCTGTAGTGTCCTCAGCGTTATTCAGAGCCATGTCTCACAGTTTTTATCTAATCCTTCAGACGAAAGTTGTGCACCTGACCCCTCAGCGAGCCTCTGCCCTGCCTCTTCCGTGCTGCAGCAGCCTCCTTCCTGATCTCCCATGGTCCATAGGACTTTGGGAATTCCCTCTGGCTGTCCCTGCTGTTAGGATCCACTCCCCCCACACTTGTGAATTTGGTTTCTTCTCACCGCTGGGGCCTTAGCTGAAATGCAGTTCCCAGATAAGTTGTCCTGGACTTCTTGCCTAGACTACATACCCTCACCCCAAGCCGGATACTTCACATGACATCATTTTTATTTCTTTACAGTGCTTATTACCACAGAACCGTGTTCTGTCCTTACTGGTCTGTAATGACACCCCCAGCCCCAAAGCTCTACAATGCCAGGGAATTATCCACATCTTTTTTTCAATCTATTACAGAATCAGACTTTCAGGAACCTACACAATGCCAACTCCGAAATGGAAAAGCTGTCTTTTCCTCTGGGAAGCCCCGGCTCCCTGCTAAGTACTGGCTTGAGGAACAGATAAACCAAGATTTCAGGCCCTTTTTACTCCTTGGCTAGGTAGGTGAGCAACCTACATGAGTGCATGTATATTCTCCTATCCAGAGCCATGCAAGATGCCTGGTAGCATATAGCAACTTCATATTAGATGAATAAGTCAAAGTTAAGAAGGTTTCATTAGCTACAGTAAAATGCAACATTTTAACTCTTCTCTTCAGTGAATTGCTACAAATTCTTTTTTTTTTAAAGATTTATTTATTCATTTTATGTTCATGAATATACTGTTGCTGTCTTCAGACACACCAGAAGAGGCCATCTGATCCCATTATGGATGGTTGTGAGCCACCATGGCTCACATGTGGTTGCTGGGAATTGAACTCAGGACCTCTGGAAGAACAGACAGTGTTCTTAACTGGTGAGCTGTCTCTCTAGCTGGAATTGCTACAAATTCTTGTACCCAGGTCACCACTACCTCAGTCAGAGACAGAAATTCTGTTACCCTCCCAGGAACACCCCTCTTTCTTCCTGTGATCCCCTCTCTGACCTCAAGGAACTATAGAATCATTTCATAAAACTTCCAAACTCATCTTAAAGGATATACGTATATCAAAATCAATAAAAGTGGAAGAAAGAAGAGCAGGAAAGACAAAAATCTAAACCAATAAGAATTAGCATATGTCCTAGTCAGTTTAGTCAAATTGATACAAACTAGTCATTTGAGAAGAGGGAATTCTAATTGAGAAAAATGCCCTCTAGATTGCTCTGTGGGTACACCTGTAGGTATTTTAATGTTTAGTGATTGATATGGAAGGGCTCAGTCCATAATGCTGGGTGTCACTCCCGGGCAGGTGATCCTTGGTGGAACAAGAAAGGCTTAATAAGAAGGAACAAGCCAGTGTGATCCTCCATGGCGTCTGCTTCAATTCCTGCCTCCAAGTTCCTGCCTGCTTCCCAGCCTGACTTCCTTTGACGCTGGACTGTGATGAGGAAGTGTAAGAGGAAACAAACCCTTCCTTCCTTCCACAAGTTGCTTTGGTCATGGCGTTTTTTCACAACAGTGGGAATCTAGCTGAGACAGAGGTAACTGGGCTTGACAGATCTGGTTTGACAGCAAAGACAAAGAAAGTTGAATTTTCTCAATCTACGTCACTTCCCCACAGAAGATAAAACTTCCCAGTTTAAGATCCAAGGTCCCTCTCATGGAGGCCATCAGACAGAAGGTTCTAGAAGATGATTAGAGAGTTCCCTCAATGATGGTTTCATACATATATATCAGGAACATTCACTTGTCTCTTAAGCAACTTCCCATAAACATTTCTATAGCAAATATTAATGTATCTTTCCTAATGAAGATAGTCAACTGAACTTTTCAGAGATGCAGAGAGAAAAAACAGTTCATAGGTTTTTTTTTCCCCCTCTGGTGAGGGTCTGAACTCTCAAATTAGATGTTTACAGGCAGAAGCATTTGCTTTGAAACCCAGGTGAGCATGTGGGAGGTGTAATGTTCAGTTATGAAACTTGAAAGGGCCTGGAAGAGGATCCCTGTTTAGATCAAAGACCGCCCTCCACCCAGCCCAGGGCAGAGCTGCGGGTGTGGGGGTGGAATCTGAATAAAGCCAGTATTCTTTTTTCCTTAGGAAGTACTTTTGGTGCTGGGCCAGCCCAATCTGGAGCTTCATTGACACATGAAATTTCCACCGAGTGGGACATTAACACTTTTAATGTGAGTGTGTCTGGGGTAGAGATTGATGGCTTTCCCACTAATCCATAGAAACATTTCAGTAAAGTCCTTGGAAGCTTGAGTTCCGAGTCACACCTCTCTTGCCTCATCATGGGGTTTAGAAGCCCAGAATTCCTCTTTCCCTGGCAGTTTCTGAATCAACAGAGACATAAAATAAGCTGCTGAAGCAGAAGGAAGCAAAACTACATCCGTGGCTTGTGGCTGTAGGCAAATGAGTTTCCTGGGTCTTAGCCTCAGAATTAGTCTTTCCCATTCTGTCAAGGGCAACATCTGGGCAGCACAGACTTCTATAAAGAACTAAGGGAGAAACAGAACACGTGGCCTCCAAATGAGCCGCTACTTCTGAAGGAGCGAGGAGGGGGCGCTCAGCTTTCACACCCAAATCCACCAGTCAAGAAAGGCATTTTAGCTGCCAGGATGATCAGAACAATTAGCCCGCGTGTGAGTGACGACTGGGGTAAATTAGCCATAGAAGTACCAGCGGAGCAACAGAAGGCATGCTGTAGCTCTGATATTGATTATTTATTTATTTATTTATTTATTTATTTGGTTTTTTGAGACAGGGTTTCTCTGTATAGCTCTGGCTGTCCTGGAACTCACACCATAGACCAGGCTGGCCTCGAACTCAGAAATCTGCCTGCCTCTGCCTCCCAAGTGCTGGAATTAAAGGCGTGCACCACCACTGCCTGACAATATTGATCATCTAAACGTTGGTGATTGAGCTTAAATGCTTATTTTTGAAAATAATTAATTTAATACACACCCTGTCCATGCTCTCGTTTCCTTCTTTGTTTTTGGTACTGGGGATAGAACCTAGGGCTTTTTCTCACTGAGCTGCCCAGTTTGACTTTGCCCTTAGGAGTCTCGTACCTCAGCCCGGAAAATAGCTTATAAGTAGATTATAAACCCACACCACCAGGCCTGGTACAAACGCTGTCTCATATATGCATTAATAATAAGAGGGGCTGGAGAGATGGCTCAGCAGTTCAGGTGTTTGTTCCGCTTCCGGAGGACCCAGGTTGGATTCCCAGAACCATACAGTAGCTTAAGACCATCTCTGACTTCAGTTTCAGGGGATCCGATGCCCTCTGCTGGCTTCTGTGGGCACCAGGCACGTACACAGTACATAAACATACATGCAGGCAAAACACCCATACACAGAAAATAACTTTAAAAATAAAGTAACAAGATAATGCCACTATTGACTATGACAGAAGTGTTTGTCTACATTGCTTAAAAAGTGGTACCAACCAGTCAGATCTGTATTCAAAGGAAGGAGATGACTTTAGGGTTTTGTTTTGTTTTCTATCACAGTGACAAATACCTGAGAAAGTTTAAATAAGGAAAAGGTTTTTTTTTTTTTTTTTGGTTCTGGTTTTAGAGATGCTCACCCATGGTTGGCTGCCTCCATTGCTTGGGGCCTAAATTTAGGCAGAACACCACGGGGGGGGGGCAGGAGTCTCCTGCAATGGCTGCTTATCTTATGACAACCAGGAAGTGGGAATGGGCCAAGGCAGGATATGCCCAAAAAAGCATTCCTGCCCTGAGGTGATATAATTATCACCCAACATTCCACAGTTCAACCACCTCACAATCCTCTGTTCAGATTTTGAACTCATCAACATATTAAACCATTCATTAGGCCAAGGCCTTTTTAATCTAGTCTTGTCTGAAAATGCCCCCCAGGTGTGGGACAATGGACTATGCCTGGAAATTTGGTAAGGTAGAGCAGGTCTGAAAGCCTGGAACTCAGGAACACACCTGAGATGGTATGTGTCTCCCTGCTCCCTCCTAGATTCCTGGCCAGGAACACATGCCATACTCCTCACACTGGACACGTAGCCCAGAACAGAGTTCTTCATGCTAATGAGGGACCTAGAGGCCCTGAGGGTTTAGCCAATAAGCTTCCCTTCCCAAAGATTCTTCCCTGCATAAGGTGTTGAATCTCTGGTCCACCCTGAGAAATGGGTGTGCATTCATTTTCCACCATGAACAGTCAGTAAACAGTGTGGATAAACATGGACTGTCTTCCATTGAAACTTGTTGTGGGGAGCTTGAAGAGGGTCTTCACCTACAGAGCTGCAGGCTAAGTCTACATAGACGCCTCTCTGCGCTCCCAGACAATCTTCACCAAGCTAAGGACAATCACTGATGAGCTAAGCCAGAGCTCCCATTTCCTCCAGCCCCGGGCTAGACTCTGTTCTCAGCTTGTGGGTCCCCAACAATCCTGGCCTTGTGGAGGGCCTGTAGACCTCAATCCTTCATTCCAGACTCCTCCATGTAGCACCCAGTTGCTGCTGGGTCAGGGAACCCCAGCTTCATCATCCACACATCTTGGACTTCGTTTTCCTACCCCCAGAGCAGTGGCTCATGTTTCCCTAAAGCCTAGCACCCATCAGCGGAGGCGTGGGATAAACACAGTCGAGCTTCCCACATTTTGCCTCCTCAGAGGCCCGCACACACCCCAGCAGTGGAGCAGAACTTGGACTCACACCCAGGCACATCCAGAGAAACATCCTCCAGGTGGTATTCAGTCCAAAAGATTAGCCATCATGGGTCCATGGAAGACGTCTTGGTCAGTAAAGTGCTTGCCTCAAAAGCATGAGAACTTGAGTTTGGATTTCCAGCATCCACACAAAGAGCAAGGTATGGCAGTGTTTACCTGTGTCCCAGCACTGGGGATGCAGAGATAAGAGTCCCTGGAGCTTGCTGGCCATCAAGCCCCAGATTCAGTGAGGGATCTTGTCTCAAAAAATAAGACTGACAGTACTCTCAAGCCTCTTGACCTTCCCTGATGTGATGGACTGTAACCAGGAATCATGAGCTAAAATAAACCCTTCCTCCCCTTTAAAAAAAAAAAAGTAAGGTTGAAAGAGATTGGGGAAGACTCCCATTGACCTCCACATGCATGCAGACAGGCATGCTTGCATCCTCACACACATGTAATGTAGACAGGAACATACACACTCTCATACACACTAATAAATAAAACAGTATCCAGTATTAACTACTGTGAGGAGGAAGGGTGAAATGTACTCTTGTTTTATTCCAGTTAAAACTTGTCTGGTGTGTTAACCTTCTCTTGCTATTCTTTGATGCAGGGGTAGTATTATAAAGGAGATCTTACACGGACAAAGTAGTCATCTTGATAGGCTCTTGTTGCTTTGTCTGCAGTTCTGGCCCATGGTATGCTGGTCAATGCATACAAAAAACGCCTTGTTGAGCTGGGTATATGAGTGCACACTTGTAACACCAGGATTTAGGCCATCAGGGCAGGAAGATTTCTAGGTCAAAGATATTTTGAGATCCTGTACCACTGTCCCTCCCAAAAAAAATGCAATCTCGGTACTTGAAAGGAAGCCACAGGGTTAGAAGTTCAAAGCCAGCCTCAGATTAATAGTAAGCTCCAGGTCAACCCAGCGTACCTGTCCTTGAAATGATGGCACTCTGAAACAGAATCCTGATTTTTCAGTCTATTCTGTTTTGTAGGTTTTCTGGGGCAAATGTTTCCTACATGGGTGATTTCAGAATCCCAGTGTGATGTTGCTACCTGTAGAGTTGGAAAGAAAAAACATTGTGTGATTTGGGAGTGTTACAGCCAAAGGGACCACAGAGGTCCCTTTGCCCACCATCTGTAGGTAGTGTGGGCACTGTGGCAGTGAGTGGACAGTGAGAGGAAAGACCAAGGATAGAGAACAACAGACTCACTTCTGCTTCCCGTCAGGTCAAAGGCCAAGGGAGAGGTCAGCAATCTCCCTATGAGCAAAGCTCTGGAAACCTTTCAGATATTTTGAAAAGGAGCCCTTGCCCCAAACCCCGAACAACACAGAGTCAATAAATAGAGGGACACCACCATGTTTCTTTCTTCTGTAAAAGAAGCAGCAAGATGATTTTTGCCTATGGCTTGTCTGTGTCAGGTTGAGAATGGAGGACACACTCCCCTGAGCATTTTTGCCACCTTGGACAAAAGTCTCTTCACTTCTCCTGGTTGGTTTCCTCCTGTGGGTATAAAATCTGTCCTGTCAGAGTGAGCATCAAGTGGGACAATATACAAGAAGGCAGCTACAGATCTGTGTTATACAAATGGATCTCCCTATTTTATCTGCTCTTCCCTGACAGAGTGTGCTGGACTATGAAACAAGAGGTTCGCTTTGCAGTTACTGCCCTGGGGGTGTTTCTTGTGGTCTGTTAGCTCTCTGAGAGATAGTTCCCTCACCTGCTGACTAGAAGGCTGAGCCAGTTGACCTTCATTTATATTCCAGCAACTTCTCTTCACCTGCAGTCCTGCTTAAAAAACTTTTTGTCTGCCTTATGTGGAAAGCTAACTGACTGTTCTGCCTCCAGGAGGTCCCTTTGTTATCAGAGAGCATCTTCACAGAGATGACCTTCCCCTCTGTTTCACACCTTGACAGACACAGGACAAATGAAGGCAAAGGTTTCAGTTCTATTTTTTCCCTGAGGTTTCTGAGTCAACACAAAACAAAAGCAAGCAAATAAACAACAAAAACAAAAGCAAACAAAAAGGATCATAAATCCTAAATTTTGAGTGTCATTAGATAGTACAGATCTTGAAAAGTGGCCTAGGGTTCTACATCATTTGGTTAGTTTTCATTGGTTAGTTTCATTTGAGTGCAGAAGAACACTGGGCTGCTTCTGATTCAGCCATTAGATAGTAAAAGAACGCAAGGGGCCTTTTCTAGTTTTGGTTTTACCACCACAGGATTCCAGGATAAAGTCAACACGTATATGTTTTGATTTATTCACATGCTAGTTACTAAACAATGATTTGAGATCTTAGTAGGTTTCAGAGTTTTAATGAAAAAAAATTCTTTCAAAGTTTTCTTTACTTTGAACCCTATGGTTATGTAGAGATGCACAAACTTTCCAACATTTGAAACATTTGCCAAAAATCTCTTTTATCAACATCAGGGGTTATGTCAACACAACTAATGTAATTGTACCTTAAAATGGTTGCAACTTAAAAAAAAAACGTATACATGATATGTATGTATGTGTGTATATAGGTTAAGTTCTAGAAACACCTAACCACTTTGTATGGTA